CTCTTCGTGCTGCATTACCAGTGTAGGAACGTCTAATGCACTTTATCTGAATCAACTAAAGAGAAACAATATGAGCAATACATTTTTTTTTTTTTTTTTTTTTAAATCTTCATGAAAGAATTACTTTAATTTGGAGGATCTCAACTGTAGACTTAGTAGAGTGATGTAACGCATGCACCAGGAAGTCAAGCATAATGGGCAGCTTTAGCTTACATGGGGCCTTAATCTTTGAGGTTATGCAATGGTAATACATATGTTGAAGTGGCTTTCTAGGTCAACAAGGACAAGATAAGAGCACCAAATTTCCGTAAGACCAGCTTTTATGCTTGCTTTCAGTCTCATGCCGATAGTGTAGTTGACAGGGTAGAATGCTCTCTGTTGCCCATTTTTGCCTGTTGCAATGAACAGGGATTAAATTGAAGGGTGACTGTGTCACACGTTGAAGTGTGACCCTCCCATAAGAAATCGCAACACGTTTTCTTTATAAAATAGTGAATTACTCTACAGCTTGTTTCAGCACTCTGTAGGCTGTGCTGTCCTTTTTTGACACCTTTCAAAGCTCTCATTTCAATTTTATAAAATGCATGAGACTTTCCAATTTTATTTGATTAATTAGCAGTGATTGGTTGCCATGCTTGATTCAGTGTAAAATAAGTTTGTTTTTAACTTCTCAACAGCAGAAGTAGTAAATATTGGTTCCAAAATCAGAAAGCATTTTGACTGCAATTCAAAACATGTTATTGTTCAGGAGGGTGCAGATGGGGGAGAAAAAGTGAGCTTTTCTTCCCATTTGGTAGATTTCTCTCTGTTGACCTGAACTAGAAGGCAGCATTTCAGAATTAAAAAAAAAAAAAAAAAAAAAAAAAAAGTAACTGTGCAGAGCATTGCTCTTATATGCTAGAAAAACAAGCGGAGAGGCAGTCTCCAAAGTAACCAGGATCCAAATAAAATAGCCCTTTGTAAAGAAAGATTATTTAAATAATCATTTTGAAGCAAGGAGGAAGCCTTGGAAGAATTGTGTAGTGTGTCAGCTGCATCTCCTCCTAGAGCACCCAACAGAGACACAAGGTAGATGTTCGTGAAACAAATTTAGTGTCTTTGAGGTAAGAGGAGGTTTTGGTTCTCTCAGTCCTGTGGTGGGACATAAGAGCTGGAGAGAAGAAGTGAATGAGATAAATCACTGAAATGATTGCCAGTGGATTCCTTTAGAAATAATGACATGAGACTTGCAAACCTGCAACTGTTTCTGGGTAGTGGTGTCCCTCCTACCATTAGTATTACTGTCACTACTCCTGGTATTTAACCTAGAATTTTATCTTTCCCCAATTGTTCTCTGAAAACTGGCAAGAAAAGGCTGCTAATGTACTCTGTTACCGAGTAGATAAACTTAGGGAGAATTGTTGGGTTTGATTTGTAAAAGCACTAGATGTTGCCTGTAACTATAGTAGACATCTGAAAGATGAACTTAATCACTGAGCTTTGTGTTTTCACAATGTGACATGCAAGGAAGTAGTTTCTATTCACTAATATAGGAACCTTAAACTTCTTTTCATATAGGTTCAGCTGGCAGAAAAAGAGAGACGAATAAAGGAACTGGCATCACAGCTGGAACTCTTTAGCAGTGAGAAGGTATTGTCAGTATTCCTGCTTAATTTTGTAAATTAACAACTTGCCAAAACTGACTCGGTCTTTGAAAATATTCTCGTTTATTGTTCTGTAATAATATCCTAGAATATTTTCTACATATAATCTAACAAAACTATTATGGTGTCAAAAATGTCTTTGATCCTGTCTAGAATGGTATTCCATCCAGGATCTAAAATAATTACTTCTGCTTGCAGATAGGGATTACTCTGTGTAAATTAATAATCTGAAATTGCAGCTAGCTGTACAGTTCACAGAACATAGGAATTCCTACCAGTTTTTGTCCTATATTCCTTTCTCATCTCTGTAGCATCACTGTTTTTCTACCAGTTTTCAGTGGACTTCCAGACTCCTTCCTCCTTTACTGCTCTGTGTCTCTTACTGAAAGATGTTCAGCCCTGTTGTGTCTAGCTTAGTGCATGTGCTCCTTGGCCAAATAGAAAAGATGATTACTGAGCTCATGCTGCAGCCTTTCTGTCGTCTAAGGGAGCATCAGTTAACAAAACTTGTGGGAATTTCATTTCTTTGAGACAGGCTCTATCCCTGATACTTCAAGGAGTTACTGGCTAACAAGGCAGCAGAATTAGTAAACCTTACTCCCTTTGGAATTCTGGCATGAGACACGAATGGTACATACCTAGCTTGACAGTTTCATTTTTTCCATCACTGGTTAGGATTATTTTTGCTCTTATCCTGTGTTGTCTTATAACTAGAGATGTAGACATTTCAACAGTGTAATCTCTGGGTTCTTCATGATGCGTGCATACAAGCAAATCCTTTTGACATCTGCAGGTCTCTTATTGACTGCTTGTAATAATAAGAGCAGCTTGACATGTGACAGTAGTGACTTCTGTAAACAACAACTGGAAAAATACCTACCAGGAAAGAAAGATACACAAACAGTACTCTGATTTTTAAATGTGTGTTAGAAAATGGACTGCCACTTTCAAGAGTTCAGTGTCTAACCAAATTCATTGCCATTACTGTTAAACCAGACATTCTGAAATATTAATGCTAATGTTCTAATGTTGGAAGTACCTCTGACAATTAATCAAAGTGGAAAGTGAAATAATAAAATAAAAAGTGAAATAAAATAATAAAATGTCTTTATTACATTCAGATAGTATTGCATGTTATTGTGGAAAAGTTAGGAATGCTCAGATTACTTTAAAAATCCAGTGTGAACAGAGACTTGGTAAACACAGGAATTTGCCCACTGATAAATTAAAATTAAACTTATTTCAGATTAAGCTATTTAAGTGTTTTGTAAAATTCTAGATTCTCAAGTAGTTGGTATTTAAGTTATTTTTTTTTTTTACAAAGATGTAATTTTTAATAGATCTCATTTTTCTAATTCAAAAGAAAGCACAATAAATGTCGAGTTTTGATTAATCTAGTTTAGCTGGAGGGAGTAATTTTAAACACCACACATAAGGAGGAGAACAACTGTAATAATGTATGGAGCTTATAAAAGCTTGGAACTTTGTCTACCAAATTTATAGATATTTACATTACAAAGAAGAATCAAAGTGCCTTGCTAGACTGGATCCATGATTTAAAAGGTTAAGCAGAGTATAGTAAACAGCTTCTCAATTTATACTCCACAGTGTTTGTTTATAAATGTCACCAAACATAGCATGCTAAAAATGTTCATTTGCTGTCTCTTCAAACCCATAAAATTACTTGGTTTCTATTTTATTTACATACTTATATAGCCTTTGATATTTTTTTTTTTTTAATCAGTCTCTACCCTAGCTGTCCAACTTCTGGCTAAGGCTATTTTACATCACCTTTTTACAGTCACTTTGATCTACATTCTGTTTTAATCTTATGTGATGCTAAAATGAAAGTATTAATGTCACTGCCTCTCATTCTAAACTGCTTCCATATTGCAGAAGAAATTGATTTTAAAAAGGAAAATCTTAATTTCACTGATAATGAATTGTTCCTGCTTTGTATTGAGGAAAGATTAATTATTTAGATTTTACATGCTCACTAAAACTTTAAGATGTAATCCTAACCATTTAACCCTAACCATTTCAATCATATATGCAATTTAGTCTGTAAATCTAAAGTAACATTAGTGTAGTTTTATATCACATCTACAGGAGGATATTTTACATAGAGGGTGTTAGGCAGAAATTGTGTTGTCCTGTATTAGAAAGTTTTTTTTAAAAGCAAGTAAACGCTGCTGTTTTTACGTCCAGTGCTCCAACAAAAATAACTTTCTGTAAGCTGCCGTACCGTTTGCAGATACTACTTTTTTTCCTGTTTGAGAACAACTTTATGATGCTGCTGTTGGAGTCTAAACCCTTTATGTCTGAAACCTGATTGTTTTTCATTTGAGTGGAGTTTTGTTTTCAGAGTAATTAGTCCTACTTGATTTTACCTTTTTTGCATTCTCATGGTTTTGGCTGAAGTTTACCTGTTTTTAAGAAAAATACATTGAGTTGTTCGTTTTAATAACTAAGACGTTTTACTTCTCATGTAGTTAAATTGCTAATTGAAATCTTGGTTTTAAGTTTCAACTCAAAGTCTTTTGGAGAAAATGCACACTTCCATCTTTGAGGTTTTTGTTAACATTACATTAGTAAATATTAAACATGAACCCAGAGAATCCAGAAGAAAATGCTAACCAGAAAGAGCAAAATGATCAGGAAGCGTAGCTGTCTAAACAGTCTCTATTTTTTAACTACTATTTTTTTTCTTTTTTACATCTTGGAATTTTTTTTGCTTGGTTCTGAATTGTAAAGGG